GGGAGGGAGGGAGCCCTGCGGAAATGGGGCGGCTGCGGGGGATGCGCGGGGCAGCGGGGAACTCCGCGCCGCCGGGGGCGCGGGAGCCGCCCGGACCGCGTCCGGCACGCACCGCCCGCCGCTTCCGCCGAGCGGCAGGGGAGAGAGAACCGCCAGGGGGCGCGCGTTCCGCGGCGGGAGGGGCTGAGGGGCTGAGGGCGCCGCCTGGCGGCCCGGGCGGGCAGGGCGGGAGCTGGGAAACGCAAAATCCCGCGGGGAATTGGGCTGGAAAACACCTCAGAGATCAKCGAGTCCGACCCGCAACCGACCATGGCAATGAGTGCCACCTCAGCCTTTTCTTGAACACCCCCAGGGACGGTGGCTCCCCCACCTTTCGAAGCGGTCCGTTCAGATGTCTGATCTGTGAAGAAATTCCTCCCAATGTCCAGCCGAAACCTACCTGGTRCAGCTTGAGACTGTGTCCTCTCATCCTGTTGCTGGTTTCCTGGAGAAAGAGGCCCAGACTGGCTGAAACCTCCTTTCAGGGAGTTGCAGAGAGCGATAAAGTCAGCCCTGAGTCTCCATTTCTCTGAACAAAACAACCTCCAGCACCCTCAGCCACTGGGCCATGGCACCCACTGGGAAATGCCATGTCCTGCCTGCTCACCCTCCAGCCTTGAGCACTGCTTAAATCCCAACCACCTCTGCCCCGGTACCTTCCACATGGATGCAATCCTCCTCCTCCAGCCCCGCTGGTGTTCCCACAGCAGCAGCAGCAGCAGCATCCATACCTGGTACCCACTGCAGGGAGTCAGCATTCCAAACACTTTGTGCTTCGGACACRGCATTCACAGTGCTCTTAAGGCATTCCTGACTGCCCGACAGCTGTGGAGGTAATCCTGGATTTATGTATAAAGACAAAATCAGTCAAAGAAATAATCAGTGTCCCAGTGAACACCAGGCACAGCTCCAAACACAGATACCCTACCTGGACAATACGCAACACTGCCATGGCTGCACCCCCAGCCTTCGGTGATGAAGGAGATGAACTTGGCCAGCTCTTCCAGATCCCTGCCTGCTGAGCTTTTCTGACCAGTTCTCTTCTACACATGTCACCCGCCTGTTTGAGGTCTGTGGCTGCTCAGTTTTGTGAAGCTGTACAGTTTACTGTGTAACTGTTTCCACTGTCATCCAGTAATAAATTGGTCACAGCCCCAASCCTGCCAGAGTTCAAGAAGCATTTAGACATGCACATGGTGTGACTCTTGAGGCTGTCCTGTGCAGGGCCAGGAGYTGGGGCTCAATGATGCTTCTGGGTCCCTTTCAGGATATTCCATGACTCTATGATTTTATTAATTTATTTTCCCTGTGTTACTGGTATGATATTTTTCCCCAATGMAAAATCTTGTAGTTTGAGCTGGTTAAACCTTATGTACAGAAGGTGTGAAAACAGGATTTCTCTRTGTTATTTACTGGGCAAATTATACCCAACAAGAGTCATAAATGCTGCTTTCATTTTGAGGCACTGGTCATTTCMTGGTTTTCATTTCTTTTTCTGTTGTTTGATGGAGAGGCTAAAAAATAAGAGTAGCAGGGGAGTGATTTGATCTGCAATTACATTTCTATTTGTATGACAAGCAGCTYTAGTTTCTATAACACCAGCTTTTAGTTCTAATTTCTATCATACTGTTCTAAAAAAAAAAGTAAAAATTTAGAGGGAGCCACTAAAATAACATAATAACTACTTATAATGTTTCAGGAAATAAAATTTAAAATTTTTATTAGAAAAATCACATATACATAATTCAAAATCACTCCTGTTTCTTAATAACTTCTTCTATAATCTTGAGACCCCAGAAAAAACTCTTAAGACAAATACAACAAACAGAAATTATTTTTTACTCTGGGTCACTTCAGATAAGCTGCAGGTAACACAGTGATGCTGTTAAAAGATAACTGCAGATAACACAGTGATGCTGTTAAAGAAAAACTTAAACATTGTTAGAAAATATTAACAGCTGTCTGAAACAGAGGAGATACAGGCAGGAATCTCTGATTTTAAAGATAATCAATGCTCTGATTACATATCTCCTACCCAAGCCTAGTGCTCCATTGTGAGTTGCAGCAGAGCCCCTAGCATCATGTGTCAGAGAGAATGGCATTTGAAAGGTTGTGCAAATTATGGTGGCTGAAGTGTTAATTGGTCACAGAATCAGAATTGTTTAGGTTGGAAAGGATGTTTAAGATCAGTGAGTCCAATCATGAACCCAGCACTGCCAAGCCCACCACTAAACCATATCCACAAGTGCCACATCTACACATCTTCTTAATACCTCCATGATGGTGTTAATGGTACTTGAAAAATAGGGTAGTCAGACAATGATTCTGTTTAGTCCTACAGCTTCTGCCTTCAGGTACAAAGATACATACAAAGCATGCCTTCAGGTTCTGGTTACTCATAATTCCTCTTGCTTAGTCATCTGTGTCCATTCTAGTGTTCTATATCCTTTTCCTTTAGTTCCTTTTCTCCTTTGACTGAAACACAGGCTTTGAATTTTAGCATGTATTGCTGGAGTGTGCCATGTAAGACTACATGGTTTGAATTCCTGTTTATGTCCAGGTATATCAGTCTGCATTTTGATCTGCTTTAGTTTATTATCTCTTATGTGTGCTGAGTGTCTGCTGGGAGAAAAATACTTCTGTCTGTATGCACCTGTATATAGCTAAGGTGTCCAAGTAAAGATAYTTGTACCTTAAGAGAGATTTGAGGGTTTTTTTCAGGACAGGATTCCTGTCTTTTTGGTATAGGGAAGCAACTCACCTGTCTATCCTTCTCCCTCCACAAGATGTATGAAAAATACTTGTGAAGAAGCAGGGTCAAGGAAGAATTTATTTTAATCCAAACAGTAGATTTAGTTTTCTACTGAAAAATGAGCAAATATTACATACTTTTCCTTTTATATTATGTAACCTTTTTAGGATGCTAGGAAATATTATCTGTGTATTGAAAGTGCATGAAAAAAAACTAGGCACAAAAATTACCTTTCTTGGTCTTTGAAGCTAACAGACTTGGTTGCATTTAATGGCATATTGGGTAGATTACRCAAAGTTCTCCCACTCCCACCACTAACAACATCCCACAGCCCTTAAAAACACATTCTGATTTGTAGTAAGTTTCAGCTTTCCACAAGTTGCACTAGGAAGACAACAYTGCCTTTCCAAACAAGCCTTTTGTCTCAATCCATATGGAGATGGCAGTGTTGCAGTGCTGCATTTCTAGGCAAACCACCAGTGATGATAAGCCTCAGGGATGCATTGCCTAAGAAAGCTCCCCCCGAGCCTGTTCCCTGTTCACTGGGAGATTTGGATAAATACAGCACATCCATAGTGCACACACCATACCCAGGGATTTTCAGGCTGGGGGCAGCCTCATCCACTAAACAGCTATAGTGTGGTGCAATAGTGCATGCAATCCAGCTCAGACTTGAAACTACCTTCTACACGTACTTGCAGTATTTGCTACACTGAACTAAACCCTTTTTCCCTCTCTTTGAGAGACCCTTTTTTTTTGTTGGGGGAAAGTCTTGGATGCAGCAGTCCTGCTTTCCAGAGTACGAATCACTAAGCTGATGCATTTGAAGTAGTCTAATATCTGTTTTAATGTGATTATGTCTCTTTGTAGTCTCTAGAAAAATGTTCTAAGCAGAAAGCTCATTACCTAAAGCTAGACAGTTTCTGTTCTGACACTACCCTGTACAGGGCCCATCAGGGAAGGTGTCCCCCATGGGGTGGTCTCTGCTGGGACAACCCTGACTTTGAGGTTCTGCTCTGAGACTGGACTGCTCAAATCACAAACCCACAGATCTAGACAAAACTTTGAAGGCTCTTGGGTATAAGTATGTACTTGTTTTAGAAACAAAGAAAAATCTTGGCTAGGGGATTTCCTTTTGGAGAATYTAGTTGTTGCATTGCTATTACACATAAGCCATCATCATCAATCTTTCTGAATTCAGGATATTCTCAAAGACATGGGGGARCTTTCAAGAGGTTAATTGTTTTCTTCCATCAAATCTGTAGAAATTTGTAAATTAAACAGGTTGAACACCAGCTATTAGTGAGCAGTGCTGTAGGACATTGTTTTTTACTGTATGCTGTAAAACCAATGAAATCAACATAAGCCTTCTAATCACTTTTACGACGTTTATCAAATCGCTCCAGTAAAGCCTTCCATATGCTGCCTGGGATTGTTTGGTGCTTGCTTATGAGAGCCTGAACAGCAGTCTTTGTCTGCAAAGAAAAGAGAAATTTGCCTTTACAGACCTATTTATGCATGGAAGAACAGTATAATCACTGACTTCTCAGAGGTTCAAAAGGCAAAATTCACACATAGCTCTGCTGTAGAAAAAAAAAATCTTTTATATTAGGTAGTTGAACAACACATTTGTTGGAAAAGAAAGGAAAAAAAACAATGATTGCAGTTTGGGTAGGCTTAAAATTGTTGAGATTTATCAAATGTGGTCATTTCTAATTCAAAGTAGCCTTTAACACATGCAGACATTAAGTTTCTGCAATCTCCCATCCCTTTAAGTTTTCATCAAAAATGATGGATAAAGCCAATGACTCACATCATTTGGTCTCATATCTGACCTTGCTGGGACTAGGATTTTGGAGTAGGAACATTTGTCTGTCCTTCCCAACATGAATTCTCCCATCATTTTATCATATACAGCATGCACTTAATAAGGAAATTCATAATACTCTTTACATGAAATTCAAAARCAAGTAGGAAGACAATGTATACAATATTCTATATTTCTAAAAGAAATAACAAATCATCTCTTTTTTGTTTCCCTTGTGTATTTAAACTTGAAATAAGGGTATCTACATACTACACTGATCTACCCCAGACTTATAGTAGAATATCACTGTGAATATAAGCAAAGAGTAGCCAAACCTTTCTTTGGCTAGGACAGATTCATCTCCTAATTCCTTTCAAGGGCAGGATCAGACAGAGGTCAGCCAGGCCACTGCTCACCTCAAACCTCATTTAAGATGCTTGTATTTAAGTAATTTCAGCCACAGAAGGCCTAACTATACTCCCACCTAACTGGGTGGTGGTCAAAGAGGGTGGCCAAAGGCTTGACATAAGTAAAGTAAATCAATATAATGAGAAATTTCAATTTCACTCTGGCAGGTACACGAAATACTGTTCCCCCAAAAATATAAGAATATGAGTAACCATAAGGGCAGTCATATTACTTCCAAACTCCTAAAGCTGCTAAGACCAAACTCCATAACTTGCTGGGGCTGTTCCCTTGCAACAGACCAAACCTGTCTTTCTGGTTTCATTTTTGTGAAGCTCAGAAAAACCTGCAGTAGACCATTTTAAAAGAGAAAAAAGAAAACAAAAAAAAAGAAAAAAGAAAAYGAGAAGGTAGCCTTGATGCATCTTTTTGGGGTCAACAAGGTGTTTTTTGTGAGTGGTTTCTAGCAGTTGTTTTGATCCGTGTATTCCTAGGTAATAGCAATTTTTATTTTTTTTTTTAATAAAATCCTTCTTTCATCTTCCATGAAAAATTTTAAAAGCTGTTTTTTCGGTTTAGCTTAACACTTTGAAAAATGCCTAAACTTCATATCTATAAACATTTTTATGCTCCTGGGCACCACTGATTTCACCAAGTGGTAGGTACTCAAAATATYTATTTATTTTGGATGCAACTTTTTTTTAACATTTTCACTTTGACAGTGAGACTGAAGCCCTTGTGGAACTTAACTTCTAGAGTCCTGTGCTATTTGGTGAAGATTTTCAAAGTTATATGTTATTTATTAAATTTATTTTCACAGTTACTGGAAATTGCACTTAAAAGAGTTTACATAATTTCAGTATCATACTTGTTATCAAAGTTATCAAAGACATGGGARAAACAAAGTTACCATGACAAGAATACAGAGCTCACACTTTTCTAAAGGATGAGGACATCCCAATCGGCTATTACTATGTCAATATTTACTCGTAGGTATTTGTRCATTAAATAATCCCAGAACTCAACAGCCCATAGCTTTAACAAGTGTATTTGCCTTTAYTCAAGCATGCAAAAAACTGTTTTCAAGTGCATATATAATAAAGGGCAAAGTAGGTAATTCAATATTGCACAAGGARAGAGAACTTACCTTTTCAACTAATTCCTCTGTTGTTATATTTGGATCATAGGGGATTGGCTTCCCAATATATGTGCGAAATTTTACTGGAAGTCCTCCGTATGGAGGAGTAAAAGGCAATCGAGTGCTTTCATATAACTGTCTAAAACATCCTGAAATAGTTTATAAGAGGGAAAAGTGAGATTATAATCACAGAAAACACAATCCAAACATTAAATCTGATTAATGTAAAAGGCTTTTAAAAATGCATGCTTTATTTGAGRGTCAGGAAGTTTTTAGAGGATTGAGGTAACTGTCCACCAAAACAAAGCTTCACAGATTTAACAAAGCAGAAATAATACTGCATTAAAGAACCAAATCACACAAACAAACCAGTTATGCACAAGGTACTTCCATATTTGAGCTACCTCTGACCCACAGCAAGTTAGAGAATGCAAAGCAAGCAAAACTCTGAAAAGCAAAATCTGAGATTAAAGCAAGATAAATCTGAGAGAAAAGAGATAAAATATTCTAAATACATAGAATATATTTATAAGTTCTTACTTCTTTCTTTAAACATCCTATAGCCTTCACGRACATTTTGAGTATACATTGGAATGATGGGCTAAGRAAGCACAAAAAAAAAWAAAAAGRTKAAAATGTTATACCAGKTTTGAATTTMTGTTTTGGTGCCTGTTAATGCAGCTAAGAAAATCACTCAGATATGGAGGGTAATAACAACAGTTAAGCAGCAAACAAGGAATCTTGGTATAGAAAACTCCAGAATAAAAGTAAAATCCTATTTCTCAACTCCCACAAACATGTTTTAAAGTCACTATCTGTAAATAAAATGACTGACACTATAWAAGGATTTATATAACTTCAATGTTATGTATTTATTGCAGTATCACTGACTAGAACATAAAACTAATTTCCMTCGTTTCTCTGTCTAAAGCTTTCATCATGAGTGGTGAATAGGAAAGTATTCAGTTTGTGAAGTCTTGCAGAAAGCAAGCAGACATTCACTCATCTGCTCATCTCATCTGCTTCTCAAACAGGGTCTCACTGAAGCAGTAATGTTTGGATAAAACTTCACTGGAAAAAACTTCTGCAGATCCCTGAAACAAAATAGGCCATTGTGTGTCCTCACTGACCTGGACTACACACCTTCTGGAGGGTGGATCCCTAGGCCCTTACAGAGKAAGTTCATTATTGTGACTGAAAAGAAACATACTTGAGATACCTGCCCTTGAGACATTCATGTCTTATAGCCTGAGGTAAGATTTCATCATTTGTAGACAAACTGACAGCAGTTGTATCCACACATGCAAAGAGCATTTCCCCCACTGTTGTCCTTTTTTTCCCCTTTTTCTGAAATTCAAATTTGAACATGTTTTTGGAACAACTTGTCCAGAAAGTAATGAAAGAAAACTTTTAGACTGTTAAGAATCACTACCACAGAACATAAACTGCAGGATGAGAAAAAAACAAGCAAGAAAAGGACCTAACTAGATCCTAACAAATAACTCACAGTGATAGAAACCATTAAAAGGAAAAAATACCTAGGAGAGAACAAAAATATCAAACATGCATAAAATAGTAATAGTAAACCCTTCCAAATGAGAAATTAAGGGAAATTGATAGAAATAAACCCTTAAAAAGTAATCAKTAACATCTTTTAAAAACACACAAGTACTGGACACTAAAAATACCACACTTTGCTTCAGCTATTAATTGAATACTGTAATCTAACGTAAAATGTTTGAAACCTGTCACACTGACAGAACACTTCAAATTTTAGGAAAAGTGCAAGAGAAACATATATTAGGCTGTGAAGAAATCTGGCAGCTACAATCTGGCAAATCTCATACAATGATCAGCCACTGAAGGGCAGAGTAGGCAGCAATGTTCAGTCCCTGAGCTGGAAAMAACAGGGACACACATAAAATCTTACATTTTTAAAGCAGCAAAACCAGGGCTGCAGTAACCCATAGATTTACATTTGCTGCACTGGAAATGAGCTGGATCACACTCAGCCAGCTTGAAACTCACAGAATTACAGGATAATTGAGTTTGGAAGAGACTTMTGGAGATCATGTAGTCCAAACCCTTTGCCCACACATGCGAATTTTGTAAGKCATAGTTCCTGCTTATTTTTTACCTAACTCGAGCAAATTTTTTGGTACATATAAAATTCAGAGATCTTCAGAAACAGTAATCCCCCCCCATTAGATTGTCAAAACCAAGCCATAGACAGAGGATATTTCTGAATACAAATGGATGAATTTGAGGTACACTGAGTGATAATATTAAATAATAACACTCTTTGACTCCAGTTAAGCAGAGTAGTTAGACAAAATGAAGTAGAAATCAAATGTGGAAACTTTGCCAGCAAGGACTGAGGGTGAAACTACCTTCCTTGTTGGCTTTTCTTCAACTTTTTCAGTGAAAGAACTATAGGACTTCTGTAATATTTTATGATGGATGGGGATGTCTATTCATATAAAAAGTAGGTTTTGTCTTGAAATCCCCATTCAAGCAATCTGTGACAGGTTATTAACCACCATGTAGTCATTTTGATAAAGTGCGTGTTGTTCTTTGGTTGACAGCTACAGTGTATGTAGAAAAAAATTTAAAATACCCTTCTAATTCTATCTTGCCTTCATTCACGATATCTGAYTAAGTGTTGGCAAATTTATATTAATTGCTACATAATAGAAAAACTTCTGATAGCTGGATGAATCTATCCTCAGTTTAGTTTTTGTGGCCAGGTTTTGGTAGCAGGGGGGTTACAGAGGTGGCTTCTGTGAGAAACTGTCAGAAACTTTCCCTGTGTCTGGCAGAGCCAATGCCAGCCAGCTCCAGGACAGACGTGCTGCATGCCAAGGCCAAGCTTATCAGGAAGGATAACAATACCTCTGGGATAACATATCTAATAAGGAAAAAAAGTTATTGTGCAGTTGTAATTGGAGCCAGAGAAGGGCAGAGTGAGAATATGTAAGAGGAACTGCCCTGCAAACACTGGGGTCAGTGCAGAAGGAGGGGCAGGAGGTGCTCCAGGCACTGGAGCTGAGATTCCCCTGCAGCCTGTGGTACAGACAGTGGTGAGGCAGCTGTGCTCCTGCAGCCCATGGAGATCCAGGAAGATGCAGAGATCCACCTGCAGCCCATGGAGGAGACCCACACTGGACTGTGAATGACCAAAAGAGAGCTGTGAACCCATGGGAAACCAGTGGTGAAGGAAGCTCCTGCAAAGGACCTGCAGACCCATGGAGAGAGGAGCCCACACTGGAGCAGGTTTCCTGGTGGGACTTGTGACCCTGCAGGGGGCTGACACTGGAGCTGGCTGTGCCTGAAGGACTGCACCCTGTGGAAGAATGACCTATATTGCAGCAGTTCATGAAGAACTGTTGCCAATGGGATGGACTCTAGTTGAAGAAATTTGTCTCCTGTGGGATGGACCCCACACTAGAACAGGAGAAGGAYGCTTCTCTCTGAGCAGTGGCAGAAGCAATGTGTGATGAACTGGCCATAACCTCCATTTCCCATCTCCCTGAGCCACTGCAGGGAAGGAGGTAGCGTCAAGGAATGAGGGAGTGGTGGGGCAAACAGTGTTTTCAAGACTTTTACTTTATGTYTTCTTGTTATCTTGCTCTAATTTTGTCAGTAATAAATGCAATTAATATCCCTAAGTAAAGTCTGTTTTGCCCATGATGGTATTCATGGAATGATCCCTCCCAGTCCTTATCTCAACTCATGAATTTTTTGCTTTATTTTCTCTCCCCTGTTCATTTGTGGAGGGCAGTGATAGAGAGGCTTTGATGGGTGCCTGGCATCCAGCCAGGGTCAAACCACTACACCTCAGCCTTTGGTCAACCTGCAAGATTAGTCTGGCCAGTATTGAAAGGCTACAGCAAGAAAAAGAAACAATCGAATCTGAAATGTATCAAAAGATGGGGTCCAGTGACTATTATGAGCCTAACTTTATATAAGAAGTGATACATAAGGTGAATATTGCTCCCTCCATTGTTAAATGCACAGCACTTCTGTTTGGTTTTTTTGTTGTTTTTTTGCTTGCTTGTTTTTTTTGTTGTTGTTGTAGTTGTTTAGTTATCTAAGGTTTGTTTGATTACAGATTTCCACAGAAATATCAAAGATGCCCAAAGTTCAGTGAAGCTTGCAAGCTAATTACAGCAATGCCCACCACAGAGGGATCCAGTTGGACTTCCTGATCATAAAAACCCACAAAACTGAAAGAGGGTAATAATAGGACATATACAAACCAGCAGCACTGTAAAGGTAAGCCCAGGCTAGTAGCTGTCAAAGAATAAAATACTCTTTCTGCCCTCCTAGTAACAGTCCTACATAGTGTCTGTTATACCAAACATTATGCAAAGGATCACAAAACCCTATCATTCTGCAGGAACCTTATCCTTAATGAATATACAATTCATTAAATAAAATTTTTTAAACTCCCACAAAACAAAACCACAAATTCTGTCAAGAGAAGGAGGTACCAATTTTAGGTACTACTATTCAGCTATTTCCATGTGCTTCTACACTATGGAAGACTGGTAGAATTAGGAGGATTATCGGCAAGGATTCTTGTGATGTGTTTTGATCAGCAGTCTATGTAAGGGCTCTCAGAGTTTTAAAATTCGACTTTTATTTTAAAAATCCACAACCTGTTGCATTGCATTACTGTATGGTTGCAGGTGAAGGGAGAAYATCTGGCAAAAGATTGTCCAGATGTTTGAAGTAGGTTGAAAGTAAGATATGAAAGCAAAATCGACAGAAATCACTCAAGTGTTTAAAGTGACAACTCTTTCCAACTGTTTGAGCATATYGTTCATTTAATACATGAGAAGACTTGGGGAATTCAAAATGCCYATATGAATTTGAGCTTATCCCATTCACATTTTGATATTTTCCTATTAGTGCTGGTGTGTACAGGCCCACACAATATACGAACTATTTTGATTAACCAGTGTTTACCAGCCCATACTTTTGAGGAAAAGAACAGAAAAGGAAATGGAAGCAAGTAAAATATGACTTTTAAAAAGCCAAAATGTAGAAACAGGACTCCAGGCCTAAAATGACTTTATCCATTAGGTAAATGCCCCTTAGTTTATTTTAGTGTTTAATTAYCTCCCCACAATAATTTAGAGATAGAGTTATAAAGGAATACTAACTGAAGCATGCATTTTGCAACTTCAGTTACTTTGTAGTAGAAGCTACAGCACAAGAGACCAAAACAAAGTTTGAGAAGCAACAAATTGGATGAGGTCCAAAAGACATATAACTGCACAAAAATCTGAAAGGGATATTAAGAAATTAAAGTTTCATGGAAAGGACTCAACTCCCTGTACAGCTTCTCCTATGTATACAGAAAACTTTATGTGGAAGGTCAAGGAGCACTGCAGTTGATGAGATATTCATAAGAATATGAAGAAAAAGTGATGGTTGTGCAATTCATGAGAAAACAGTAGAAAGTGCATGGCAGAACAGATAAAGCCTGGATTTGCACCAMTATTGTCAGACACAAAAAGCACTAGGTATGCTAAATCTAAATTAAGGAAGAAAACTTGTGTCTAGAGGTGATGATGATGAGAAGTGGTAGTTAGGAAAAAGACAGGGTTGCTGCTCTTTCAGCTGCATGCCATCCCAAATAAAATAATTTCCCAGAGACTGTATCAGAAAASCAGTCTTACACATGGATTTAGACGGAAGAAGTCAGAGCTAGGRGTAGAAGGTTGCATTTGTAGATCATCATCCATATGGAAACTAACTGAAACGTCGGCCATGTATACATTGGTGGGGTGCAAATCAAGAGAAGCACATCTCTAGAGGTTGCTGAGGATCTGACATCTWCACTGAACACATTTCAGTTCTCTGTTTTTATGTAAAACTAATTCTTGTTTGGCACCATTGACTGAATGACCATTTGACACTGGAGAGAGTTAGGTCCCAATTYTGGTTTAGTTTCAGCCTGAAGGAATGCAGCTCGTGTTCCTTGATGTCAGTGAAAGCATGGTATGAGAAGGAGACACAAAAACTGCTTCAAAWGTGCACATGTTTCAAATTCAGACACCGGTGTAGACATATCTTGGGTTAGTTGATGCAATTTTTCCCAAATATTAAGAAAAGTGAGGGTAAGGACAAAATCCTAGACCCTCCCAGAATAAGTGAGAAGAAGTAAAGATGAGGATATCACATTAAAGAGCCATAAGAAAATGACTCAGTATACAGAAGTAAAATAAAGATGAAAGTCTATCAGGATGTGAAAAAATAATGAAACCTTAGGGCAACATGGAGAAGGATCACAGTGAAGGTTTCTGAAATGCCATCAAGAGGAGACACTGGATGCCTGCATGATGGAATTGTAGACTTGGAAGCACATAGATGGGTGCTTTGAAACAGTCAAGTAAAAGTTTGAGAATTCCACAAAATCTTTGCTCCTTGTCAATTAACATGCTTGAGGAAAGTGATGGGAAAAGGTAATGAAATCTTTATTTCCCAACCATTTCTTCTGGAAGATTTTCCAATGAAGACTCCCAAACTTCATTTCATAATGAATCACATATGCAGAAAGCCTAAACTGCGACTGGTAASRTACTGTACTCACCACTTTTGCATCKAGAGCAACCTGAGCAAAGCCTTTTCGATTTCCCCACATGAGCTGGTAACTTTCATCACTGAACAGCGCTTCCCGAACTCCTCCTGGTGAGATGGACACCAAGTATCCTTTCTTCAGTGCAGCCAGACACTCCTCCCTGGTTCCTGGCATAACACCTGTCACTCTCAACAGTAATTTAAGYCCTGAAATAAATAAGCAGCAAATCCATATTAATATTACAATGCATCCCAAATACTGCTTGTATGTAGGAGTGAGATTGCAGCTAAAATAAAATCTACTAGCTCTATATTCAGACAAAGACAAGTTTTTACAAAGGAACATCCCAATAAAAAAGAAACTTCCACATGCTATCTTCCATAATTATCAGCCAAATTATGTTATCAAAACTTGTAGGTCATAGCTAGAAATCTGAAAATAAGCATCTATTCCTCTCTCCTTTTTATGCATTTTAATATTGAAAAGAATCAGTACAATAAAGWTTACTACAAAAATAAATACCTGATAAGCAACTATTTTTGGTGTTCTTTTAAAACGTGATGTTTAATATTTTAAACACTGAGGTTTTGAGTTGTTCAAGTGAGCATTTTGTGGATAAATTGAAAACTATGTGGATCAAATTGAGCTGCTCTGAGACTCTCAAGATGCATGAATGACAGAAGCTAGCAGGGCAATTTCAGAGCCACATAAACAGTTCAGTGAATCCCTTCCTCTATTTCCATAACTGGGATTTCTATAAAAGACAGATTGAGAACCATAGAAGTACTCTACGCTTTCTTATATTATCATCACATTTTAAATATAKGGGTTTGGAACTCCCTTAGAAAGCTTCAGCAAACGAGCATTTCCACAATCTTCAAATTCACTGTTCAAACAGMATGGTTTGAAAAGAGATTTTTTGTATTAATAAATGGAAGCAACAGCTATGGACGGTCAGAATTGGTGCTTAGAAGTACAACTTTGGCRAAGGTCTGTAACTGAAACTTTGAAAGACAATGCTGAATCCTGTAATTTAATTGTATTTAATCTTGGTCAAGGCAATATAATTGATAGATTTTTCTGTAGAAGACAGATGTTGACTTTGTTTAATCCCTTTGTGAACCCAGACATATTTCTATTTTGTCCTAAAGTCAGAAATGCTGTATCCTTATTAAGCAAAGAGGTTCTTCATTTGCTTGATTTTAAAATTTTTGAGAACCATAATGTATCACATGAAAATATTACCACTCCTTATTCCACTTTTCCAGGTCTCAGAGAATTTTTTCCCCTTGGTCTGCAAGGCTTCTGTTTAAAATCCTAGCACTTCAAAAGAAGACATGCTAGACCTCTGAATCATCCTTGTCCCTTTTCTTTTTGGTAACTTTATTACTTTGCAGATATTCTTGAGGGAGAGCCTTTTTAATTCACAAGAAAATTCTCCTGTAACTGTAATTAATCTGGCAAATAAACTGAACTGAGGTTCAGCATATGCTCATGAGCATTCTTCAAAAAACCAATCTGTGAAGTGTAACATTTTTTTGCAAAAAGTAAGCAAGAGAAGCTTAGGGAGACATTCCGCTCAGCCTATTACTTTTAGCCACATTTTCTACGAATGCAATGGGAAGGTCTAACCTCAATTATTTGTAGTCTTTCTTACCAGATGTCTTTTTATAGCCTTTTTGCAGGTTGACATAACATTTGCCCCCTTCTGTTGCTGTAGCATGAATATAATGCAAGCAATATGTTATGTACACACCAGTAGTCCAGGAACTGCACAGCTTACAGTGTTGCTTGGTCCTAACAATAATGTACTGCATATTTGTGATAAAAATCTGTGCTATGGACACTTCAATTTGAAAGAGTACCCTCTTATTTGTCTCTTAAAAAGAGGGTCTCCTTTGCAACATTTTGCTAAACTTTCTCTTTTTTTGAGGGTACTCTTAAAAGCCAGTCATCTCATGATGACTTCATATTCCTGATGTGCTCAGTATTACACTGTATTTACTAAGTATGCTGTAGAAAATTCTTGTCATCTTTTTAGSGGTGTCTGAATATGATTTTTGCATCAAATTTGCTTGAGTTTATGCTACTTGTTTTCAGTGTTTCCAGGAAAACTTCCTAGAGTGTTCTTCTACTTCTAAAAGGCCTCCTTTACTCTTTATTAATAAAACAGCTTTCAGTGTTTTAATAAGTGGTATRAAGGTGCCTTCAAATAATCTCACTGCTGTTCCTTCTAGACATTTGTCCTTAGACCTTCTTTTTCCCAGACTGAATTATCTTTGCTTCTCTGTATCTTCTTCTGACCAGACATCACTATCAGAAGACACAGAAAAACAATAGCAGAGTCCTAGTCAAAACTTTCTGCTGAGGAATGATATTTCATCTCAAAAGGATCCTATATTTGTATATAGGATCTTTCATCTCAAAAGGACCCTATATATTTGTTGGCTTCGGCAGGTTTAGCAATGTTTTCACTGAAAAGACAGGATATTCTGCCCTGTTTGTCTTGTTACATCTACCAACTTTTAGTTTAAAAGTCTTAAAGCAGTCTTCTCTTTCAACTACCATAAATGAAAACCAGGACAGGTTAGGTGAATTCAGGAAGCTTAAATACTGAAGAACATGTTCTTACCTGGTAAGCGAAACACAAAATGATCAGCTACTGACAGACAAAGTCTTTTCTTCCAGAGAAACAGCCTAGACAAGAAGTAAAGGTAGTCTATAGGAATAGCTCCATGGTAGTACACAAGAATGCCTGGTCCTTCTGGGAGGTTTTCCACACCATGAAGCTCATAACCTGTTTGGGATGGAAAGCAATACAATGACAACAATATCTGCAAATCATCTGGCAGCTTAAAGAAAACCATTTACAGTCCTTTGTTAAATGACTTTCAGAGAGTTGTGAAAGCCTCTGCAATAGCTTTTAAAATTATTACATTCTGGATGGAACTTTTGGTCAACAGCARAGAGAAAGTCCCTCAAACACCACAGCTTATCACTGGACTGATTTGTTGGTCAGTTTAATCTCAAGATCAGACCTGAACCTGACCTTTTCCCTTTTTCCTTATTTCCCATTAGGAACTTTTTGTACATAGTACAGTAATAATAATAATGGTTAAAAATCACTAACTGATGTGAAAATGTTTCATTTTCAGAATAAGTCTGGGTGCTTTCCCGAAATCTGGAAATATGAATCTCCATTCTGTGTCAAGGAAAATGAAGAGTTTGGGATCTTCCACAACAAAGTGTTCCTCTTTTAGAGAAGGTGAGATGTTTAAATTGAAACTATAATATCTAATAATCCAAAGAGAGGTTCTTTCCACAAGAGTTAAATGTATTCATTTCACAGTGCAAGGGAATTTCCTCACAGACACAGACATCTATGAATCCTTGTTGCAAATCTTCCTGTGTTTGGTTTAGGTTACAGGTGGAGCCAGACTAGAAGGCTAATATATACAAAGTCTTGGGAAAGCTACATCTTCTGCCAGCTAACAGCTCTGTTCTACCTTGTCTGCCTTCATTTCCATCCCTGCTAGAGCTCCTGCAATGAGCCATTTGGATGGGATTGGAGTAGGCAGAGTCCTCGGAAGAGGTGGAGAAAGTTTTATACTGCAGGATGTTCAAAGATGCAGTGCAAAGTATAATAAATATAACTTATTTGCAACCATTTGCAAGAAAAAGATTAAAATTAAAACTTCTGCGTATTTACCATTTACTGCAATTCAAAGCTTCAGAGTAGTCATGTTGTACTTACCATGCCATATTCTTGCATATGTATCCCAAAAGGTTGCTATAGTTTTTCTGGCACTATCCCAAACACCACTCAAGGGATCTGCTTTTACCTCATTGTTCYTCTGATGTATTAAAAGCAAAAGATTAGTAAGGTAAATGAAAAAGACRATTGTTAAAGGAACTATAAAAAAAACTAATATTGCACTAATTGTCAGGGAGGTGATGATGACATGAAAAAGGTATTTCTTCAGGAACTCCACAACAGCCCATTCTTCCAGAGCATAGAAAAGGCAGCTGAGGTTGGTCATCGGTATCTGTCCTGAAGTACAGGGCTCTTTTCTATCTATCATGTCCTGCATGGAGAAGGAAAAAAAAAACTCAGCTGTAGTTTCTCTGATCATGGAAAATTCTCAATTTAGGAAAAAAGCTCTCAATAGATAGATCTGATGCCYATTTTGGTACAGCACAGGTTTGTGTCTCTCTGTCATGCTAAGATAACTGCTGGTTATGAGATTTTCCTATGTGCTTATGGAAGAGGGAATGAAAAGAGAAGGGTTGGAGTTCAAGGAAGCCTCAGRATCCCTGCAGCATAACTGACCAGACAATTTCTCTCAAAAGAGGGTAAGTGGAAAGTCTTTCTAGCAGCATTAGCCAGGAAGACTGCTGCCAGGGGTGTAGGCTCTCCCTATCCTCTGTAGAGCATCCAGCCTGGGCTTCTTCTCCCTGTTTGGCAGTAATAGGATCAGACAGCGGAGTGAGCAGCTGAAGCATCAGCAAGCAAAACCAAGGCAGGAATGGCTCCTTCACAAGGCCAGGAGGCTCCTGGGACAGCACTTGGTACTGCTGTTAGCACTGGGAAAAGCAGATTTTCACCYCTCATCCATACAACACACCTTTCTTTCAGATTTTCCAGGCCTAGCAAAGACAAAGAGAGCTCTGTGACCCTACTGATGTTTTGCACATGCAGCTCCCTAGTTGGGCCATTCCTACAGCTGACCCTGCCTGCAGGACAGCAGGTAATGCTAACACTGGAATGCAAAGCACTCCAGCATCACTGGCTGCTCTTAAGATTCTTGAGCATTTAAACATTGCAATCCAGGTCAGTAATCCATAACTGAACAYAGATTTTCTTTGCCTCAAACAGGTTGCTACTTGTTTAACAAGTAGATTTTTCTGCTCCAGCACCAGAACAAGTACTTACAAGAAACAAATTGTGTCAAAGTCAGTGCCAGGATCATAAAATAYGGCAAGCCCAGACTTCTCTGWCTTTGTGYCTTCAGCTCTGTAYTTATATGAGCAAACCTGCTGTACAYTACCCACCTMACTTTTTTTTCCTTCTTTAAAGTCTTGGGTAGAATATAGGGGTGGACTGGTGTAAAGCACATTTGTTCAGAATCGTGGGTGACAAGGAGTACARCAAACAGCAGAAGTGGAAAGCAGCCAAACTTTCCACACAAGCACTAGAGTCTAACATGCAGAAAGKCAAGCAAGCCCCATGGCAGAATGAGTAACTGCAGTAGCTATAAACTTGGTCTCCCACAYGCCAATGAAATTTGTCCTTATCTCAAACCCTTTGAATTCCACACTGGATATGAAAAAGGACCACTTGGTTTAACCCAGTAGGAAGCTGAGCACCACACAATTTGACATGACACAAACAAATGAAATCAGCGTGTCAAAGAAAGTTTGTTTATATTCTGATGACTGGTACCTAAGATGTAGGAAGATCTAGACATTTTCACTGAAAATAGAAATATTGTGTATCAATAACATGAAAGAAAAAAAAAAAGGAATGCTTTGCATGATTCAGATATTAAAATGTTTGACAGTTTTTAAGTTTAGACAGTGTTTAAGAAGGATAAACTGATGGTGTGGAGCTACTCTATGGTAATTATTGTTTATAAAGTTCTGGTAAGAGTAAGGACTACAAATCCGCAAAGTGTGCGAAGCTGTGCACACAGAGCCCAGGAGAAAGCCATGTTCAGGGGGCTTGCCTCAGGCTACTGAGTCAGAAGTACTGAGCAGTACTTGGAATAACTCATTCAGCCTTTCAACACAGGGTATAGGAAGTGAGTGGGATTTGCATTGTTATGGGGCATTCAGGTCTGGAACACAGACTACTACAGCCTCTATCAAATGTGACTTCAAATCACAAAATGTCCATATCCATAGCAAGTGAATCAATAAWATCCTCTATATGACATGGGGATTAATTAGGATGAACAAGAGATCATATAATCTACCAGTTTAAGATTATTCCAAAGATTATTCCAAAGCCAMCAAGCACAAGTAATTGCAGATTCTGCAGCCAGATAAACTTCTGACAAGATAACTGAGAAGCTGGTAAGTGATGAAGGCAACTGATGCTACTCATTGTAATTTTGTGGGAAACACACCTTGCAAACAAATTAACCCCCGTTCTTTGAGGAAATTAGAGGTTTAATAGCTTGTGCAGATGTCATGCACATGCAGTTTTAACAGGGACTTCTTTAAAAGTCATTTTAAGCCACACATGAGCTGCTACTTGAAAGTCRTCCTTCAACCAGTCCTTCACTCTATGTTCTCACCCCCAGCCTGGTCTCCAAAAGGATCATCTGGCTCCCTGCAAACAGGATATCAGTGAGAATGCTGGCACAAGMAAAACCACTCTTGGGAACAGCTCAGACTCAGGCTGGCCTACAGGTATTATGCAAGTATATTACCAATGCCACTCGACATTTTTTTAAACAATAAATCTCTTTTAATTAGGGCATATATGCTGTGAATTACATCACCAACTAGCATGACAAAAAACTATCCATCAGAGTAGAATCTCTACCAAATGAGAACTGAAATTATGTTCTAAATTATTCATCATTTTCAGAATTTTCTTCTAATATTAATAGGCTGTTTRCATTGATCAGTTTTAACAATGTAACATTCCACTGATCCCTCTTCCTCCATCCCAATTTTTGTGTAGCAGAAAATTGCTGGCTGGAAAACCTCTTCCCTTAACTTCATTAGCTCACAGAGTACAGTATAAATTCACATCTTAATTTACTAATTTCTGATTTTAAGTTCAATATAGACACTGAAAAAAAAAGCTTCAGAAAGAAAATCCATCAGTGTGCAAACTCACATTTTTTTAAACATACCAAACAGATTTTAACAGTACAGATTTGACCAAAGTAAATCTGAAAGTAGTTGGGTAGACACAGAGGGAGTTCACCTTCCACAAGATAATTGGGTGGGGGGGATACAAGCTGACTCAACATCATTTCAGTTGAATACAAGAGTAGAAAAGAAAATAAATTATTGATTGAGGTAAAACTAGAAGCAGCACAGCTTTTTCTGAAAACTGGGTATTCAACCATGGTTCAGTTTCTGCTCTCACAGTTCAATTGTACTCTACCTGCAATATTTCATAAGAAAAAAAAAAGAAGTCTGATCACTGAAACCTGGATCCTGGTTTTTGGACCATGTGATGTAAGTCCAACATGGTAAATGAATCCCTCCTTGCTGTCAGTATAACATCAAAAGGCTACAACAGGACCAGACTTCTGTTTTTCCGTGTTCTACTGGCTRTCTCTCACCAGCTGAAACCACAAATACAATTTTGAAGCATTCTTTTTATCAAACACCATATAGGAAACTATTACATKATTATTTGAGTGCCTATTGCAAGCCAGTTACTAAAAGCCTCCTTGATTATGCACTAGAAGACAATGCAGGAGTGTTACCACAACATGTTTACTTATAACTGCTTGGGTTTGCCCCAAWTGTCAAAATTTAAGAGAGAAATTTCTCTTCTGCTTTTGTCAAATCTGAGCCAGAAGCAGCTCCAACGTACTTCAATACTGAATATTCCACGAAAGGTTAACGAGTGGGTATAGAGTTGTATTATTTAACGGAAAAAAAAAAAAGGAGCAAACATTTTTAAATTGTCTAAATTTTTCTCATCTAGTGATGGACTTGARGATACTGTTCTGAGTTAAGTGATTTCATTGTTCTTATAGAGAACAATATGTGTGTTGACATGTAAAGTATTTGTTTGGGCTCCACCTATAAAACATATTGAATTCCAGAGTAATCGCTGTTTCTACAACRTAAAATTACAGGTGATGTCATAGAAAGACAGAACTACTATGACYCTAGTTAGAGAGGAGCTGCTCTTTCAACAAAAGTCTCCTGTACTACAAGTCATTCAGATCCTAARCTCTTGCTGAAGCATCATTTGCTGATAAGGATAATCTTACCAACAYTGTAATCCCAGGGAAGAACAAAGCTGTCACAAGAGACCTATTACATTAAAATTAAAACCTTGTAGCTGGCTTTCAACCATGACTGAAGAGTCATAATCTTTGTCTTGCTGCTCACTGGTTTGCTCTTGGCARTAAGTTTAGCAGAGCACAGTGAGAAGATGCTTTACACAGAAGTGTAAAGTAACTGCAGACTATCAGAGAGATTTTTTTGACACCTGCTTCCTTGTGGCAGGCTTCTACTCTTCAGTCAAACTCAATCGCCCTGTTTCACAGGACACATCATCTAACAGTAACAATTCTGCCTCCTGTCTTTTCAATGTAAATGAAATTCCAGCTTTCTATTTCCTGGATGTTTTGTGTCAGTTCCATGGAAAATAACTCTCTTGCTGATCTCACCCTGCCACCACCCACTTCATTTGCCTCTGTAAACCCACCCATGCTGTACCCTCCTTCCCCCACCTTCAACACATCCACCCCAAAAGTGAAGGGCCTATCCCTTCCAGAAACTAACAGCAATTAAAGTGCTCAATCTCCCAGGTTTTTGCAGCCATTCTACCTTTTTCACAYACAAAGGGTACTAAACCCAGAACACTATTTCCCATTTACAGCCTCAGCAAATATGAATAACTGGATTCTCCCTTGGACTTGATTGAGCATGTGGAATTTAGGCCTTATCCCTGTCTGAGTATCCTTGCTTAGATTAGTTCCCAGAAATATGGCAAGTAGGAGACAGAAGACTAATAAAATCATAGAATCATAGAATGGTTTGRGTTGRAAGGGACCTTAAAGAGCATCTGGTTCCAACCCCTCTGMCACRGACAGTGRCATCTTCTGATAGACCAGGTTRYTTAAAGCCCAATCCAACCTGACCTTCAACACTGCCAGTGATGGGGCATCCACAGCTTCTCTGAGCAACCTGGTTCAGTGTCTCATTCTGACAGTAAAGTTCTTCCTGATATCTAATCTAAACTGCCCTCTTTCAGTTTAAAGCCTCTTGTCCTGCTGATTACATCCCTCTGTAAATAGTCTCTCTCCAGCCCTCTTGGAGGTCCTCTTCATACACTAAAAGGCTGAAATGAGATCTCCCTGGGGCTTTCTCTGAACAATCCCAATTCTCTCAGCCTGTCTTTGCAGGAGAGTCCTCTGATCATCTCTGTGATCCTTTCCTGGACCTGTTCCAACAGGTCTTTACTATCCCCAGAGCTGGATGCAGCACTCCAGGTGCTGTGTCTCTCGCATGTGGAGCAGAGCAGAGGGGCAAATCACCTCCTTCATCCTGCTGGCCCCACTGCTTGTGATCCAGCYCAGGGTATGGTTGGCTTTCCTGAGCTGTGAGCGCACATGGTCGGGGGTATGAAGAGGGTGTACAAGGAGCAGCATCTGGCTTCAGAGCTGGTACCCGTCCTGTACAAGACCAACACCTACATTTATCCCTTTTCTTCCTCTGGAAATGTCATTTAATGTTTCCAAACGTCAGCACTGCGAAGGCTCGAGCRTTTCCCCAATGTCAGGCGCTAAGGGCTCCTAACAGCAGATGGTTTCTCAAGTACGGGAGAGCAGGAACACCGCCGGATCTCCCCCAGGGGACGGTGGCACAGGCTCCCCCTGCCGCCGCCGCCCTCCATCCCATTCCGTCCCATCCCATCCCATCCCGTGCCGTGCCGTGCCGTACCGAGTCCCCCGCCCCACTCACCTGCCCGCGCCGTCCCGGACCCCGCGGTGAGCGCGGCCCCGGGATAAGCGCACCGCCACCCCCGCACCCGGGACGAGGGGGCGGAGCTGCGCCTGGCAGCGCCACCAGCTCCGCGCCCAAATCTCCATTGAATTCTTCCACCATAGAAATCCCGAGACGGGCGCAGGGTGCCTGGCCMAAGCGTGCTGGGATGGAGGAGCCGCTTCCCATCGCAGCGGAGCAGGGGATACTCGGACCCTCCGGCGCCCTTCCCTCTTTGGAAGAAAGGAACCTGTCCGGGACTTGCTTCTCGTCTGATCTACGTTGCTTAAGGAAACTTTCCGACASTGTCGTTAACTGCTAGGTGGAGAACAAGCACTGGTTTTGCAAAGGAAAGAATCTCTTTAAAAAGCCTAGGAGACCCGGGTGTCACACAGACTTGCAGTACAATTAAAGCAGAACATAGCTAGACCATGTTAGTTTGGCTAAATTCAGCAACAGAAACCCGAAMTGCMGTAAATACCCTTATGTTGTRCTGTTGTCCCCTATTCCTTATATGKTGGAGATCTCATTTAGACTKAYATGACCAAWAAGTATCAGTTTTGAAGTTCAGAAAATGGTTAATCCAACCTGTTTAAGGCAGGTGATTGAATTTCATAGATTTGCTTTGACGCAGAACAAGAAATTGGCTCCCATGAAGTAAAATGCATGACTGCAGTACTTTTTGTCCCACGTGCTGTACTGTGGCTATGGTTCAAGGGAAGCAGACACAGATCTGCAAAAAAAAAAAAAAAAAAAAAAGCATCTGTAAGTTTTTCTGATGGCTTCTGGCTTTTATGACACAAGACAGACTTGTTCAATAACTGCTTTTCTTGTCAGGGAAGAAAAAACATAATATTCCTTGCCTAGCATGAAGCAGCAAATCATTGGGACTGTGCTCTCGCTAGTAAGGAATTTGATAGAATGTGGATAGAAAGTATTTAAGAGGCAAAATACTTACCAGCCAACACCAAATGAAGCTGAAATTACWTTGTTTTGTTTGCATGTGTTTCATTTCCTTGTATTTGCATGATTGTGTACTATCATTCAAATAGTCTGGATAGAAATGCAAGAACTAAAACTACTGTTGGAGGACAGACCTAGAATGAAACAACAACACAATAATATGGATGTTGAAAAGTACATTGAAATAAAGAGTACTGAATAGCATTGTGTGATTTAAAAAAAAAATGGAATTGCATTGCTATCTTTGCTTTTGTTTCTTATTTTTTCTTAAGAGTCATCTTGAAGAAAAGTGGTGTGAGGTTTTTCAGAGTATTTTTAAGAATCTAGTATGGGCCTCTATCAGCAGATTTGGATATGAAGGGAGATCTCCAATGACAGACAAAACTACTCTGAGGAATCTATGTCATTACATGAAATCAGAATTTAATCATTTGGATCTCAGAGCATGGCAAATACAATAGAGATGCAAAATTTCAACAGTCCGGAATTTTTAGGTGAAATAATGATCAAAAATTTTAGAAAGTTTCCAAAATTCCTACAGATACCAAGAGTACAATGTGTACTATCATGACTACAAAAATTCTTTGAGAAATGGAGCAAAAGGAAYGGATTGGTATAATGAACTGTGCCATGTGAATCAGAAGCATATGTTAAACTTCAGCTAAAAATAAAAGTAGCAACCAAGGTGAGACAGMTATAAAAAATTAATAGTGCTGAAAAAGTACTTTGCTCTGATTTTGAATTAAGGTAATRAGATGGACAGTTGGCAGATTGATAATAAAGATGAAGGAGGAGAAATAATAAAACGGGAATGAAAAATCACAGTTCAGACATGGTAAGARTAGAACCAGTTAGTTTTCTAAATCTATGCAAAGACAATGTCTAGATGTAATTCCAGGCCAAGTAGTAAGGAATTTCTAGTAGCTTTGTGGAGTTTAGGATACCATATAACTGAAGAATAGAAAATTTAACACCTAYATTTGAGAAATGAAGAATTATTAGGAGTCTCCTAGTATTCTGCACTACCCACTGTGTTCCAGACCACCAGGTGTTAAAACATTGGCATTCAAGATSTGGAGAAATGGTAAACTCATATTTCCTTTTCTAACTGTTAATGCTGCCAGGCAGTCCTGCCAATGGCATGAAGCTATGGAAAGGGTAAATATAACCTTAGGGTTTGTCTCACAGAGTTCTGGGTAGGATTAGTGAAGTGTTACAGCTAACAGCTATTTTACTTAACTCTATTTCCTCCTTGGTTATATAGATTAATTTAGATTGACGCAAGGACAGAACAGAGTCCAAAGAATAAGGGATGTGGCTTTTTTTTAACTTATCAAAATGAAATTTCAATTTATATATACCCATTGCTGTTAAATAATTTTGGAAGTAAGAAGGTAAGAAAGTRAGTCAGTTAAAAATCAGCCGAAGCAGAGAATAAATGAGAGTTAATGGCAGTATAACTTTGCCACATTTTATATTCCAGTAAGTTTTCCAGAAAGAAAAATACAAATTATTAATTTGTTTACAAGAGAAGTAATAGAGTTTCTACTGCTATTCAGAAGTTGAAAATAAATAGGTTACAGAATTTGGCAGTCCYAGACTGGTGTTGCTTGAATGACACTGCAGGTGAGCTGCGCTTGTAGCTAGCTCAGCTTCACCCATGATGATTCCAGTAGAACATGGAACGATTAATGCTGTTGTTAGCTGGTGACAAGTGGTGTTCCCCAGGCCTCAGTACTGGGGMCTGYCCTCTTAAATGTCTTTAYAGATGACCTGGATGAGGGGATTGAGTGCACCTTCARTCWGTTCACAGRCRACACYAAATTGGGCAGGAGTGTTGATCTGCTGGRTAGTTGGAAGGGTGAGTAGCGGGATCAGGACTGGCTGGATGGATGGGCCAAGGCAATGATATGAGGCTGGACAAGGCCAAATGTTGGGTCACAACAATCCCATTGCYGCTCTGCAGGCTGGGGGCAGAGWGGCTGGAAAGCTGCCCAGCAGAAAAGGACCTGGGGGTGCTGGTCAACAGCAGCTGAACACGAGCCAGCTGTGCCCAGGTGGCCAAGAAGGCCAGTGGCATCCTGGCCTGGATCAGCAATAGTGGGGCCAGCATGGCCAGGGCAGTGATTGTCCCCCTGTACTGGGCACTGGTGRGGCCACACCTCAGATCCTGTGATCCCTCTTCTCTCAAGCAGCAAGCAAGATGAAATTGTGTCSAGTTGCACCAGGGGACATTTAGATTGGATATTAGGAAAAATTTCTTCACCGAAACATTTTTTCAGGCATTGGAATAGGCTGCCCAGGGCAGCGGTGGAGTCCCCATCCCTGGAACTATTTAAAGACCTATTAATATGGTGCATAGGGACATGGTTCAGTGGTGGACTTGGCAGTGTTAAGTTAATGCTTGGACTTGATTATAAAGGTCTTTTCTGCCTTAAATTATTATGGTTCCATGTTTAACATAAAATGACAGTTTSTGTTTGGAGGCTATAAAATTTCTTTCTAAAAGAAACTGATTACTYGTTTCTAAAAATGTGCCTCAGTCTTGCCTCCTGCCTCTTAATACTTGCTTGAGCATATATGCCAGGACCTAGACTTGACTAGAAACCACGCTACTGACCCCAATATGGAGCAATGGTGGCCTTTGTGGGATCTGAGGATTGGGTCCTATTTCAGCCAGAAATGCTGCAGAGTGATGGGAAGAGAGGCCTCAATGGTCTTGGAGGGTTCTGTAAGCTGAACTTGAGCACTTTTTTTTTTCAACATTGACATTCTAARCATGCCAGTCACTGAGGTTAAAATGTGGGAATCAGAATAGTACCACAGATGAGGGATTGTTTGCAGGTAGGCTTGTAATTCTTAGAGGTGGTTGCCAAGACAAAGAATAATTTGKTTTTAATTTTCTTGCAGATATGTTTCACTGATGAAGAAATAGAACTTTTACTTTAGATCCTGAAGGATCTAAATAACATTCTAGGAAAGTAACATTTTGGGAAAGTTGTTATATAGATTGAATTTGCTGACTGTAGATAGTGTAATGAACTATATTGCCCAGACATTAAGTGCAAAAACTTGTTCTATTTTTGCCRAAGTAAAATCAGCAGAATCAAACAAATCCTAACAGGGCTGATGGCTCAACCTTAGCATGTACTTGCAAATATTGCTGCTGTCCTGGAGAGCAACACAAAGTCACTTGATGTTACAATTTAGTGGTCTAAAAACTATCTCAGTTCATTTSCCTTGAAGCAGAAGATGTTAATCTGAGCAGCATCACAGCCTACTTAATGCTAGCTCCAGGAAGAGCTCCTTTATCCAGTGTTCTGTGTAAGCCACCCCTYTTAGATATGCAAGATCCTGAGAGCCAAGGCGACTTTGATGCATAAGTCTCCCCATTTCTTTTTCATAATTCTCAGTTTGATTCTTCTCTTCTGCAGCTGTCAGTGTGGGCCAGCTCCCTCCAGATTCAGGGTTGAACTGGCAAGGACAGAGGGCTGTCCTTGGAGACCTCCCAAGCACTGCAGCTGGAAGTAGCCACTGGAGAGAAGAGAATCCCTTTACTGTGCCAATGTTACCATCCTACCTGCTTGTCATGCATACTTTACTAATGGTTTTCAGCACATTATTTGCTGATAGCAGTGATATGATGAATCATCAGGAATTCTTGGGTCTCATCCAATTCATAAGGAAATATGGTCTCTAGCAGGTATTGTTAACCCTCTTTTCTATATCCTTTAGTATTTTGAAAATATCTTCCACATTCTTTTCCAATATGTGTGTATTCTACTGACATTCATATCATTTTTTTTCTTCCCTTTCTTTCTTACCTAATTTCAGTCTGCATTATTCGTACCCCTTTTTTTTCCCCCAGCACCAGTTCTTAGGGGCTGAGAATCTCTATCTCCTTTCTACATTTCTTTTCCTGTTCTCCACATTAACTTGGACAAGCCTTGTCTTGTCTCCCTCACCTTGGCTTCTATTTTTTTTTTTGCCCAGTTTATCACCATGTCACCAAAGCTCACTCCCTTCTTTGKTTAGGTGTACCCATTCCAGCATCTTTTCATTGACCCCAAACTATTGAATTTTCACAGCCTCATTTTCTGGAAATGACACTGTCATTCCAGGTCTTTTACACACCTTGATTTGTTTGAAGTGAAGGTTGTTCCCCAGCTTCTTACCCACCCCCATATCTGTAAACCCCCACTGCTCTTTCACAATTCCCACCCCTTTTGTTTGCACAGCCTTCACTACTCCCTTGCACTTCTCTTTCCCTTCAGTCTGCTGGAATTCAGCAAT